TTTGAGATGACCCCTAGTTTTTCCATTCTTGTCAACTCAGTCTTTACCTTATCCATTAAAGGTAACGGTACTCTGCGCGGCGTTGACAAAGCATACGGTTTCGCGTCTGGGCCTAGCGCAATTGTATATGTCCATTTTGTTTTCCCTAGACCGTTAAATATCTTTGGATATTTACCGCGATAGTAGTTATTCGCTTCGCTACTCGCGTTGACAGACGAAACATTAACCTTATCAATAATACCTAAAGCCTGAATAGCTGGCCTACCTAATAATGGTTTACTTAATCCCTTAACAACATATATATCCTGAACACTAAATTTGTCCTTTGTTTCAAGCATGCATTGAAATTTTCCTACAACATTTAAGTTTGTGTTTCTCGGTCCACTCAGTCTTTTGTTCGCTTTCATCAGTTCTATATTATTTATTCCTTTTAAATCACTGTCAGAAATTACTGTAACATCCGCACCAGTGTCGATTTTGAAATCTATCTCCTTTTTATGAATGAAAAGTTTTGTTGTCCAGGGGCGATCACCGACTGTGTTGATTGTTCCCAGAAATCCTTCAGCGTCCGAATAAACGCTCACCGATTCAACCGTTTTCACGGTTCTGCAAGATTTTGCGAAGTGTCCGATATTTGAGCACTTGTAACATTTTGCTCCTTTAGCTGGGCATTTTTCTCTGGGGTGAAATTGTCGATTTCCGCATCTTTGGCATCCCTTTTGTTGTGAATGGAAAGGCTGCTTCTGCTTTTTCACAAATTTAGTTTTGTTGAATTTCGATTTAACTGCATCAACATTAGAGTTCGGATTGTCACATCTCATTATAGCCTGCTGTTTCTTCACAGTCTCCGATTGGCGGGCCATGTCAGTTGCTTTCTTAAGAGTAAGCTCCGGATCAAGCTGCATTTTCAATGATAAGTTGGAATCCTTGATACCGACAACTATTCTGTCTCTTATCATTTCTTGTCTTAAATCGTTGTATCCACAATGTTCAGTTAATGTGTATAAAGATGTAACAAAACTTTCTACACCTTCATCGTCGTCTTGTTTCCGCTTATTGAACTTTGCACGTTCGAAAATAACATTCCTTCTAACTATGAAGTACTTGTCAAATTGCTCTTTCACTTTTGCATATTTCTTTTTGTTTTCCTCCAACAAATCAAATGACGCAAAAATATCATCTGCTTCCGGACCCATCGTGTAGATTAAAGAGTTAACCTGTGTAGCTCCTGCTTTTTCCTCCAGCCCCGAAGCTGATCTGAATCTATCAAATCTTTGGATCCATTTGGTCCACGTTTCTGGCTTACAAAAGTCAAACTTTTCTGGAGCTGCGACTTGAAATGTTGCCATAATTTCAGTCAATGTACTGCACTACTACAGGATTAATCAAAGAATTGTCCGGTGTAACTAAAATGTTTTAAACCGCTGCTACCATGTTATATTGGCGAGGCAAATAATATACTCCTTTGATATATATACATATGTTTTATTCTAATCTAAACTATATACATTGTACATGTTTACTTGTCAAGTATAAAGCACGCAAGTGATGTTGATCTGGAAACAGTTCTCATATAAAGCTAGTAACAGTTAGGATCTGATAAGAACTTACATTTGATAGTAAACAGATGCCATGACCTTGGTGTTTTCCCAGACTATAGGATAACCTATAGTTCATTGACTTAATATTACAATGTTGACTAAAAAAAAAGAGGCGAAGGATACCAAAGGGACATTCAAACTGATAAGTCGAAAATATACTGACAATGTCATGGTTAAAAAAGAAAAAAAAAACAAACAGGCAAACAACAGTACATTAAACACAACATAGAAAACCAAAGACTGAGCAACACCAACCGAACCAAAAACTGTGGGTGATCTCAGGTGCTCCGCAAGGGTGAGCAGATCCTGCTCCACACATGGCACCCGTCGTGTTGCTCATGTTAGTTCAAACCTGGTGAGAAGTCTAATTCGGTAGGTCTAAGGGGACGGGATCATCCGTTGTCATCTGTGAAATGATTAATACATAGATCTTATTAGGTCTTTCCACTTTTCTGTGGAAAGACCTATTGTATTTGTTCTGATTATTTTTTTTTTTTTTCTTCCGCCAAATTTTGTTCTTGCGATAAATGTTTGTTTCGCAATATGTCGCTTAGATATTTCTCATATTGTATCGTATAGTTTATGCGCTTTTAAATTTCACCCTGCTAAGCCGAACCATTTTCTTTGCAAGAGTTATCTCCCTATTCACTGTTTATCATCTGTGTGCATCTCCTTCGTAACAAAAAAAATTATCGACAACATTCTTTTTCTAAATTGTTTGTTACATCCTCAGGAATTTTTGCCTAATTTGGATCGAAGCGATCCAGTGAAATCTTAAAGGAGTTATCTGCCTTTACCAAATTAATTTGTCGTTATGTTTTTGTAACACGTAAACCGTAAGCCGTATAAAAAAAATTTGACCAAAATGTTAGTCGCGACATGATATAACTGGAAAGTTTTTGTTAAAATGGTACGCGTCATTGTTTTAGGGGTTCCATGTCACTGAAATAGTAAAATGAACAAAATGAACTAATTATAGCCTTAAACTTTGCAGCTATCATGATGTAAACATGCATCTTATCTTAATTTATCAACAAAGGTCCACCATCCTCCACCTCCCCCCCCTTTTTTTTTTCTTCTACTTTGAGGGAATTCCATTTCGCCTTGAAGTTCAGTCCTGTACAATTTACTGTAAAAAATGCAATCCTTCTGATATACAAACTTCTTAAATAGAAATTCATTCCTGCAAAAATCGGCTCCAATTCATGTTCATGTTAGACGCGGTCCGCTTGATTGAGAAATAAAATTCAATGACGTAGAAAAATCGTAAATATTGCTGAAATCCTACAATAAAATTTTTTTTAATCATGCATTTAAATACAAATCTGTGCTCCCGTAAACATGTGTACGTAAGATGCATGCATGATCCGTCATCAATGACCTGTAAATAATAAAACCAATAGTGATCATGTTTGTCCGATCAGTACACATGTGTTCTGTTCAACGGTCTCCCCTGACATATATATTCGAGCGTCACGTGACTTCAAAACATCATCACGCGCGCGGACCTAAAATTAGAATAAAACATCCGAAATCCATATCCAAATATGGAAAGTGAAACTTCCAAGACAAAATGTTACTCATTTTTTCCCCCTACAAATTGAAACAAAATGTACACACAACACATAAAAGAAACCATGAAGTACCAGTTCTCGTAGCAAATAGGGAAAATTAGAAAAAAAAGAAGATGTTAGGATTTTTATTTATTAGGATATCCTTAGGCTGTCCGTTTGGGAGTGCGGGATGTACAAGTACGCAGCCCGGTCAGAACATGAACATCAAGTCCGATGCCTCGCATAGAGAGAGTGTCATGCAAACTTTCAATCAAGCAATCAATCAATCAATCATTCATTCAATCAATCAATCAATCGATCGATCAACCAACCAACCAACCAACCAACCAACCAACCAACCAATTAATCATGTTTCAGAGGGGAAAGACCGTTTAACAATTGTTTTTAAAACAATTGATTTATATTTGTTCTTGTAATTTTTATTATGTAATGTTTCTCTGTATCCATAATAGTTTTTAAGATAATAACCAAGCACTGTGAAATTTGATAAATAAAAAGGACATTTCAGGGAAATTTACTCCAAATTGTGTTGTCCGTTCTCCTAAAAACAAAAACTGTCATTTACCCTATTGCTCTATTTTTTTAGCAAGAGCTTTCGTGTATATTGACGGAGCGAATCCCCGGATACAAGTTTTAATCAAGATTCACCCAGATAAATTAATGTGAAGTTTGATAATATTTTGCCAAGTAGTGTAAAAGACGCAGATTTTTTACAAGTTTGCCGACGGCGGACACAGAGTGATGGCAAAAGCTCACATATTTCTTTGAGCTAAAATGGGCTGCTTAATGTATATATAGTTTTTTTTACATTGTATATTGCCGAAAAATATAGTTCTAACCAAAATTTTAAAATACTTTTTCAAACTTATTTTCGAGTTATCCGACTTCGAAGTACATCTGGCTATGTCATAGAGTTAACTTACATGTACATATCTTCAATTCTTAATAGTTAATTTGAAGACATGTTCTTTTTTCTTAATTCTTATAGGCAAAACCTCTCGGAAATTTGGGTTTTCAGTGCTCTTCAACTTCGTACTTTATTTTACCTTTTTTTTTAATTTTTGTATTCGAGTGTCACTGATATGCGTCTTTTGTAAACGAAACGTGCGTCTGGCGTACACAATTTTAATACTGCTACATATGATGAGTCAGCACTTCTGTGCTGACATGAATTATCATTGATATGGTCAAATTTATAAATTAACTGTTTACAAAACTTTTGCAATTTTGAAAAAACTGAGGCTTTTCTACCTCAGGAATAGATTACCTTAGCTGTATTTGGCAAAACTTTGAGGAATTTTGGTCCTCATTGCTCTTCAACTTCGTGCTTTATTTGGCTTTTTAACTTGTTCGGATTCGAGCGTCACTGATGAGTCTTTTGTAGACGAAACGCGCGTCTGGCGTAAATACAAAATGTAACCTGGTATCTATGATGAGTTTATTTATATACCATGTAATAATGAATAATGACATCAGATTCCTCTCTCATGATTTTGAAAAGTGATTAAGGAAAAGCACAAAACGATACTAAACATAATATCTTCGAAAACATTTACTCAGTTTAGAAAATAATATGTATTATGAAAACAGAGTAATAAAAGAATTGGATATGTTGTATGATGCATGAAGAACATTTCCTATCAAGCACGCAACCAAACATAAAGAAATAGGCCTTTCCACACCTCAAAGTTCCAATTAGTTCTTCAACATGGCCCCTTATCACCAGTTTTTGGCGAAATTCTTTGTTAGATTTTGCTTAAGGTACATACAACTTTACTTTCACAAGTATTGTATGTAAGTTATCTTTACAAAAAAGGTCTCTTACCTTTAGGACAGCAGTTTGTGTACCACTACCGTAGTCACTACCGTCACCAGTGTCCACTTTGGTGAAAGCATATGGATTGCCATTTACGACCAATTCTGTGGTTTGCCAATCACCATTTGCTATCGATACCGTCCAAGTAAATACGTAAATACCAACAATGGGAACAACAAATACACCATCGCCATTATTGTATGATGTAGTCGTATCCAGTATAACCTATATAAAATGTATTCAAAAGAAATGTTAAGATAATAATTGTATTTATGAATATTCACAGCAGTTACAAATTAAAGCATATAAGAAATCTTTCTTGTTTCGATTTTTTTTTGTATTAATAAGGTGACTGTTAGATATTCATGAAATATTATACATATTTATCTAAATATAAGTTTACTTGCGGCACATACATTTTACTTGTACAAATGTACTGACTAGGCCTTTTGTTGTTTCATAGAGGTTTCTATCCCTCTTACCAGATACATTTCACTATTTTAAATATAAAACTTTTGGCATATTTGGTCAGTGAGAGTAGAATCAATGCTTCTATTTCCCATACGACATGTTACATGTTTTTTTTCTACGAATTTTAGTCATTTAGTGTATAAGTTAGGAAGTTAGACATTAAAAGTTAAATAAAGATCTATCTTAAAACAGCAGAAGTAATCAACGATTGCAAAGCTCACATCTCCCTCACATTGACCTGCATGAATGAATAAAAAAAACGATGTTTATTTTTGTGACAAAGGGACCGTGTGTGATCACTCAGCGCCATGCGAAATGAACTTAACGTTAAACTCAATACATATCGCAGCCTAACGTGGTCAGAAGGAAAACTTTACGCAGCAAGTGTGTACTCTGTTCCAATTCATGACGGTACTGATTTTTTTATAATTGCATGAAACTTTCTAATTTCATAAAGAACTCACATGTAAAATTTAGTCGATGTAAATGAAGCGTAAAGTTAAGGTCAGTGACTTTATCTTTCTTCGAAGCTGCCATATACCCGCAGATGCATCATTTTATCAAGTAAAACGATTTTATATGTTAATTTCTGCAATCTGAACTAGGGCATATAACGTAATCAGAGTCAATTAAGGGTAAAATATAGGCCAAATTATCTCCTTTTACTCTAACACCAGATTACCTAATTGTAAGTCACTAAGTATCTGTAAACTGAATTGGAGCGTAAAAATATTCAAGCTGTGGTATTTCATCTCACGAATTATGATCAGTCTCTCCTAGATGCATCTGGTTACACACCTTTTGATATTGACGCGTGGTTTATAGAAATTCATGTTGTTTCTATAATGCAATTCCCCAGGAAAGCCAAAAATCTAAACCCGGGAGAACAGAAAAAACAATAAATGGGCCAATTAATAGAATACTAGTAGGCAAAACCTTCATAGGTCAATATTCTAATTTTGAAATGTATTTCAGCACAATTATTTAGTTATATGAACTTGAAATTTATATAAAGCATATCATATGAATCATCCAAATACAGACGCCTTTGTTGCTAGATGACTAGCTGTAAAACCGGACCATGGTATTAAAAGTGTTTGACATTATTACCATTCACACAATAATTATGCGTTCCGTGAAAGCCTCCTCATAACAAATGCCAATCTATGAATCACAGCTTATGGCTAAACAAAAGAGGGACGAAAGATACCAGAGTGACAGTCAAACTCATAGATCGAAAACAAACTGACAACGCCATGGCCAAAAATAAAAAGACAAACAGACAAATAATACTACAGATGACACAACATAGAAAACTAAAGACTAAGCAACACAAACCCCACCAAAAACTAGGGGTGATCTCAGGTGCTCCGGAAGGGTAAGCAGATCCTGCTCCACATGTGGCACCCGTCGTGTTGCTTATGTTATTACAAATCCGGTAAATAGTCTAATTCGGTAGGTCTTCGTGAAAAGCGAAGGGTATTGTAGTTACGACATAAGGAACATATCCGATATCATCTGTGTAACGGTTATTCGATAACGGTCAACCAACTCGTGATGGCGTCCGTAAAATTTACGAAGGGATGATTTCAACTTCACCATTTGGAACTCTTGGTTTCATAGCTTCCTTGTGAGCAGCAATCTTCTATCAAAGAAATCATGATAGGAAATACAAGCCCGGGAATATCGTATCAATTGGGAGATATATACTCCGTATAAAGGCGCTGCTGGAATGTTGCTACATAGAAACGGAAAGTTCACAATTGGGAAGCTGAAATCATCTCTTTTGTCGTAAAGTTTTGTTTTCAGCCGACCTCATTGTCAATTTCTAGATATAAGTCAAGATATGAGGCAGACTAAACTGTATCTGTAGTATCCTTTATCTCTAGTTCGATGGGATAGATTCGTTTAACATAGCCACAAAATTTTGTATTATTTAGTGAGAGAACATCATCTTTATAGCGGAACGTAAAGTTAAAGGATATTGCTAACTTCTTATCTTTCTTCCTAAGAAGTTCCTGTATGAAGTCAGCCTCATAATAATATAGAAACAAGTCGGCAATGGTAATATATGCCGATATAAAACGAGATATTCGAACTATCAAGATTTTCCCAATTCTAGAAATAAAATGTATCCATATCAACTCACTCCTAAACATCAAAAATTACCAATCACCGTTGAACATTAGACATTGATATTTGATCGTTTCTCAAGACGAACTTCAAAACAAAATAATAAACCAGACAGCATTCCTTTGTCATTGTATATGAACCTTTCATTGGGTAAACATTTTTTTTGCTGATTAAATGTACGCGTGTTTGGCAATGGTGTCTTATACTTCGATGATCGTTAAATCGTCAAAATTTAATGGCAGTGAAAGACGTATGCTATGAGTTCTGTGCGCAGAATAGGTCTTTCTGGACTAAGCTTCAACACGTACACACGAGATAAAAATTACACAAATATCAGAAAAAGGTGTATCTTGTAAATACAAATGCAGTGCATGAACAAGCCGTTACTGGAAAAACATTCAACATGATTAAATAAGGTGATGTTAATAGATTGAATTGGTAAATTAATGTATGTTAACTTTTACTTTATATAACCATGAACTACCTTTCAGTTCCATGGTGTATAACCGATAAAAATGTCAAATTTGCAAAAATATTGTTTTACCTTGTCAAATATAACAGCTGCGTGCTTGCCTAGTCCAGTTATATGTGTTGTGAGTTGCGTTGAAAATGCTACTTTATTTGGAGGATTCTGTCTCTTTTGAGCTGAAATATGTCATGAAAACAAACTTAAATTTGATGTTCATATACACAATTGGCTAATATTATACGCTTTCCTTTGCAAACAGTAAAATAACAAAAATACCGAACGCAACAAAAAATTCAAAACTGAAAGTACTTTGATTCCCTTTATAGCTCTAAATTATTTTTTCGTTTTTTCTCCTGGCAGTTCCATTATAGAAATGTATTTTTATTTGGATGTCATTATCTTCTTTTTTTTCTATAAAACCCTAAGAAGTAAAATAACAAAATTACCGAACACCAAGGAAAATTTAGATCGGAAAGTCCCTTATCAAAAGGCAAAATCAAAAGCTCAAATACATCAAACGAATGGAAAACAACTGTCATATTTCCGATTTGTTACAGACATTTCCTTATGCGTGTGCTATGTAGAAATAGTTGGTTTAAACCTGTTTTTATAGCTAGCTAAACATCTCACTTGTATGACAGTCGCATAAAATCCCATTGTATTGACAACAATGTGTGAGCAAAACAAGCAGACATAATAGGTAAAAATGTCAAAAAATTGGTATTTTATCTAACCTGTATGCATCAAAAACTCCTCCAGAAAAAAAAATAAAACGAAACAACAAATTTATAAATATAATATAAAACAATGTCAATAAACAAAAAGATGAAAATATAAAACAAACAATCAAGAATAAAAACAAAGATGATATTGAAATTCAATAGTAAACAAGTTGTTGTCTCTTTGACATATTCCCCATTTCCATTCTCAATTTTAATTTCTACAGCAAGAAAATATTTATACATTTATTGAATTTCAAAATTCTATTTAAAGTAGATCGGGTGTCTTTTTCTGAGCATCCCTTCTGGGCATGTTGCAAAAATACTATTTTACTCTGTATCATTCAATATACAAAAGAAACATGTAAAACTTGAAATTTAAAGATGAAATTACTAAAAAAAAAAACATTTTCATTAAGTGTTTTTAAACTTTTCTGAAAGAAATCCATTTAAAATCAAGGGCTGATAATCACATTGAATTTGATTGGGCATTTTTTTTGTTTTTATTTTCCAACAAAATAAGGCTGTTAGTTTTTGAAATTTCAGAAGTATTTATGAAAAGCAATTATCTCATTGAATATTAACAAAGAATAATCTTTCGTCGAAGATTAAGACACCAAAGTTACCTTGAGAAGAATAACAACGCTCGTATCTCAAAAAAAAAATAGTTTGATCCCATTTCACAAATTCCTAACAGCAGCATTTTAAGTAAAATAATTGAGTAATCACACGTCTAAATATTCCGCTATTCGGCTTTCAGAAGTATAGTAACTGCTTCATAATTTAATTCAAACCTTTCATAGATGTACATTCGGTAATTTCGAGATTCAGTCTACTAATTTCAGTTTGAAGTTCCTTATTTATAGACTGTTGTCTGTCGAGAAGTATCTCCAGTCTCTGCAGGCGTGTTTCTGTGTGTTTGGCATCTTCCTGTGACAGTACTCGACTTGTTGGCAAAAGCAATATAATCGTCAAGTAAATCGGAAGCATTTTTGTATTCATTTTACATTACCATTCACGTATGGCTCAAAATGAAATGGTCTTATATTGATTAATACAATCATTTAAGGTTACAAGATTATCAAGTAGGCAAAGTGAACTGGTTTGATAACGCTACACTTTCATGTTAATCTTAATGCGTTTCGTGAATTATATAGGATTGTTCGTAAATGACGTGTTGATCTTAATGTGCTAAATATTCTCAAAACAAGCCGTTATCTCTTTCACAATCTTATGTGCATCTTAAGACAAACTTAAGCCAGTGTTAGAGGTTTTCGCTGTGTTCATTGTACTGGTCTTTTGTAGAACTTTTATTTTCAGAATTGTTGTATGCCCTATGGTGATTCTATTTTCAAATCGCATTTTATTGTAGAGTTGATGTCTCATTTGATGTTTGGAACCTTAGTATATGATGGACATTAAAGAAGTCGGTGACAGGGTCGCATGCATATATAAAGAAATAATAAGCCGGAAATACAGTAATTATATATTCAAAATTATGGGGAAAATATATAAAACATACATTTTCACAAGATTCTGAGGGATGTTCACTTTATATCGTCATGTTTTGATCCATCTTCAAAGAGATGACCTGATTTCAATTTAACTATTAGCTCAAATGCACTATACTGTCAGTCGCATTACAATCATTCACTGAAAACACTTGATCACTTTTATAGCCTTTTATGCAAGTAACATTTGATTATATATGTTATCTTATATAACACGAAAATCTTTCTATATAATTCTCAAATCCAATAACTTCGTCATACATTTTGGTCTAAAAAATAATCGGTATATTGTAAATTGAAAATTATACAGAAGGTATAATGGTATTGGAAAATTGTCACTCAGTACACAGCAATAATTGCATAACCGTTTTTCATGCGTAAAACGGTCGTTTTATGTATCTTATAAAACATACGTTAGACGCATGTTGAGGACCACGCATGAACAAACACATAAGAAACGGATGAATTACTCATGTTAAACACACGTAAAACGTGTGTTGACGTAAAATATGCGTTAAGGTAGCACAATACAAAGCAGCTAAATTTAATCAAAATTTCAATTTTAGCAGTTTTTGTTACTTCCTAATATTACAAAACCAAAGAAGAAAAATATATTTCCATATCTTGTACTGTTAAAGAGGTTTGATGATGATTAGTTTTATAAACAAATGCACTTGTTTGACTGACACAAGATAAGAACATGTGGGCAGTATTGTGTGGTTAATCAATAGAATCATTTGATAGCTTTATGACCAAAGAGGTGGAAATACCTGTACCAAGTCAGGAATATGACAGTTGTTTTCCATTCGTTTGATGTGTTTGAGCTTTTGATTTGCCTTTTGATAAGGGACTTTCCGATCTGAATTTTCCTTGGTGTTCGGTACTTTTGTTATTTTACTTTTTAGGGTTTCAAAGAAAAAAAAGAAAGATAATGAAATCCAAATAAAAATACATTTCTATATTGGAGCTGCCAGGAGAAAAAACAAAAAAATAATTTGGAGCTATAGAGGGAATTAAAATATATATGTACAGATATTAAATGAATATAATTGTACAACAATTTTGTTGCTGAAGTTAATGCTGATGGCTATATCAGATTTTCTTGAGGAGAATGTGTAAATATGAATTCCTTTCAAAAGAAAACATAAATTAAATATTTCATTTTCAAACAACAAAAATAAGAAAATTCTACTTTGTTTAAAACACCATATTTTCATTGTATACAATTTTAATTCTAGAAATCCCCCACAAGAAACCTCTAGTCTGACCAATGATCATTTTATGTACACGTGCATAACTTACTTTTTGGGGAAATGTTAAAAAAAAGTATATTGTTTTATGTACTAAATGAAATAAATCCATATTGAAAAAAAGCAAATGTAATGTGTAAAAGAGAGGCAAAAAATACCAGAGGGACATTCAAAGTCATAAGTCGAAAATAAACTGACAACGCCATGGCTAAAAAAGAAAATGACCAACAGACAAACAATGGTACACAAAACACAACATAGAAAACTAAAGACTGTGCAACACAAACCCCACCACCAAAAACTGGGGGTAATTATACTTTTGAGATCATTAATAGTTGATGTTTAACCAGATGGGCGAAGTTTTGACCATGTCAGTAGCAACTTACTTACAGCAAGGTCAATAATGATATAACTTCTCCCGCCAGATCTGGTTTTTGATGCATACAGTGTGCATTTTCTTTATATATTTAGAATTGTTGAAGTGGAATGCTTTCTCACTGGTGAAGACCTAATTGATTTATGATTTATGATGCATGCACACGTATAAAAATTGCGGTTTATATCCAACGCAATCATAGGTTTGAACGTTGTTTTCAATTTAGATATGTTTATATTTTTTCGTTTGGGCTTGCATTATATTTGCCTTCGGGCTTATATGATCCGTTCATCCTATTTTGACTCCTCAAAATTCAAGAGTCTATCCTAAATTGAGGTAAATTGTGTGGCTTTCCAAATACCGTGTCGATTCCTAACATCACTGAACTGACATTAATTGTCGAAATCCGGATATGGTGTACAAAAACCTTTGCACCTTTTGTTTGCGGTATACCATCTATTCCGCAAGTTAATTGTTTTCTGTTTAGTATTAAACTTATAATTAAGATCCATTTATTACATCGGTGATCCGTTTATTTGGCAATCGCCAATGGCAGTTGGATAAAAACCGCAATTTTTATACGTGTGCATGCAACACAAATTTCTTGTTAGAGGGGTCCATATACACCACAAACAACATTTTCCAAAAGACCAAAAAAGTGAAAAAGTATATTTAAACAAAACGCATTTGACTAACAGGTCGAACAACAAATGATCTTAAACCCTGCTGACTGCCATTGGCGATTGCCAAATAAACGGATCACCGATATAATAAATGGATCTTAATTATAAATTTAATACTAAACAGAAAACAATAAACTTGCGGAAAAGATGATATACCGCAAACAAAAGGTGCAAAAGATTTTGTACACCATATCCGGATTTCGACAATTAAGTGTCTCTTCAGTGATGTTAGGAATCGAAACGGTATTTGGAAAGCCATACAATTTACCTCAATTTAGGATAGACTCTTGAATTTTGAGGAGTCAAAATAGGATGAACGGATCATATAAGCCCGAAGGCAAATATAATGCAAGCCCAAACGAAAAAATATAAACATATCTAAATTGAAAACAACGTTCAAACCTATGATTGCGTTGGATAAAAACCGCAATTTTTATACGTGTGCATGCAACACAAATTTCCTGTTAGAGGGGTCTATATACAGCACAAACAACATTTTCCAAAAGACCAAAAAAGTGAAAAAGTATATTTAAACAAAACGCATTTGACTAACAGGTCGAACAACAAATGATCTTAAACCCTGCTGACTGCCATTGGCGATTGCCAAATAAACGGATCACCGATGTAATAAATGGATCTTAATTATAAATTTAATACTAAACAGAAAACAATAAACTTGCGGAAAAGATGATATACCGCAAACAAAAGGTGCAAAAGTTTTTGTACACCATATCCGGATTTCGACAATTAAGTGTCTCTTCAGTGATGTTAGGAATCGAAACGTATATATATATGCTAAATGGGAGGGGATCTTGGCTGTTTTTGAGATATTTAACAATTAATGATATAAGGTGATTGGGTATGACAAACCCTTACAAAATATATGGTGAAGTAGAAAGGTTTTGTCATGGCAATTAAGAATCTACATGATGAACATGGTTTAGGGTTGCAATTTTTTTTTACAATTCTAAAGACTTAAATTTAAACAATTTTTATATGAGAGAGGTTGGGCATGAACCGTAGAAACAAATCCTATGGTGCACTGGAAGGTCTCATTATACCAGTTCAGAAGATATATGGTTCAGAGGAGAGGATCAGAATAGTTTATGATATATCTGACAAATACGAAATCACCCAGGGACTAATCCTATGGTGTACTACATTATACGTTTTGTCATGGCAATTAAAAATCTACGGTTTATGAGTAGGAATATGAACAGTTTTCAACATGTTTAGCAAACATTGATATTTAAAGGGAGGGGCATGTCCCCAAGGGTCAAACCCTTGGTGAATAAGAAAGGCCTTAGCAAGAAGGTAAGAAAATTTGAAGTTAAGGTAAGGGTATTAATCATTTTGAGAAGTTTAATGAATTCTTATATGAAGGGGCCGGGCATAATCCTATTGGGCAAATCCTTACAATCATTGACAATGTCTTACCATGGGAAGCTTAAATAGATACAGTTGTGGTGTCGGCATTTAGAAAAAACAACTATTTAACCTTGAAAGTCAAACGTCATCTTCAATTGTACACGACACATAATCTTGATATTTTACACCCTTGAAAATTCTTTATACATAAAGGCAACAGTAGTATATTTCTGTTCAATAGTCATAAATCGATTTAACTGAAACAAATCCGGGTCACAAACCAAAACTGAGGGAAACACATCAACTATAAGAGGAAAACAACGAAACAACATAAACACTGAACTGCTACAAAAACAGTCCCCAACAAACATAAAAACGGAGTCTATGTCAAAGGTGACAAAAATTATGTTCCGGCCACAATAAGCTAAAAAATCGAATAATTATGACCTTAGTCATAGGTCAAAGGTCATAATAATAATATGCTACACTCTCTCTGATAGTTATACGCCTTCATGTAAAATGTCCTTTTTTGTTTGCTTGTTTTTTGTGTTTTTCGGGGTTGTGTGTTTGTTTCTTTGTTCCTTTTTTATTTATTTTGTTTGTTTTGTTTTTAAAGGGGGAACATAAGTTCCTAGAACACGAACATTACATCTGAAAACTAACACTACAAACTGCTCAGAGCCTGAAAAGACCATTTTTTTGGCTCAGCCAGTAAAGTCGAGCACATATCTTACTTGACAAAGACTCGGCATAATCTCGGCGGTCCTTAACTGTCCTTAACTTTGAACTTAATAAGTCTGAT